GGGGGCATCTTGCCTCCAGAAGTCTTGTTGCCTGTCTTGTCTAGTCACAGATCATCAAGTTGGTCTGGCTCCTCAAACCAGCACAGTCTGCCTGGCTGCTGGCCAAAGTCATCCAGCTGGGCCTGTGCTCCATTCACTTTTATGCCTCTTGGCTGAAGTGAAGGCCTTCCTCCCCAGGGTTTCTGTGGCTACATGTAGACGTGATCTTCCAGGTAGTGGGAGCTCTCTGACTGTGCTATCTCCATTGCTCCCTATCACTGTGGCTGTGCATTACAACAACAGTGGCATGCCCAGTAGTCAGTTGTTCCTTGCCATGGCCAGTGAGAGCAGTGGTGGGATGTACTTTGAGATCGTGTCTAGGAAGGAGCCATACACATAGACACTCAGGGTACGTTGCATGCACATCCTTGCTGCCCACACTTATATGACCTAGAGATGAGGAGGAGCTCTTCTACACTTTCCTTGACTGTCCCGAATTGTGGCTGTTTTTGGTTATGAACCAGTTTCTGGTTATGATGGTATATTTAATTCAGGAATGATTTCATGTCCAGCTCCTTGTGGGGCTATATACTTCTACTTTTTGTTTTTCATGATTTTATATGAAAAATAAAATCATACGCCCGGTGGAAGGGGGGTGAAATCTCCAAAGAGGAGTATACCTCCTCTGCTCGGGCCTGTAGGCGAGCTGTTAGGAAGGCCAAGGCGGACATAGAGCTCGGATTAGTGTCCAAGATTAAGGATAACAAAAAGTCCTTTTTCAAATATATTGGGAGGATGAAGAAGGCGCCGGGTAATGTGGGACCCCTGCAGGATACGCTGGGCAATCTGGTGGTTGCGTCAGAGGAGAAAGCGGACCTCTTTAACCAATTCTTCACCTCCGTTTTCTTGTGCAGGGACCGGGACTTCCCTGCTGTGATAGAAGCCGGACTCGAGGGGATCGCCTTCAGACCTCAGGTTGGGGAGGACCGGGTTAGAGAGCTTCTGGAGGGGCTGGACGCGTTCAAGTCAGCGGGTCCGGATGCTCTCCACCCCAGGGTGTTGAGGGAGCTAGCTGGGGTTATTGCAGGGCCCCTGGCACGGCTCTATGAGCGATCGTGGTGCTTGGGCCAGGTGCCAGATGATTGGAAGGTAGCAAATGTGGTCCCCATCTTCAAGAAGGGGAAGAGGGAGGACCCGGGCAACTATAGGCCCGTCAGTCTTACCTCAATCCTGGGGAAACTCTTTGAGAAGATCATCAAGGAGCACATTTGTGATGGGCCGGCATCAGAAATGATGCTCAGGGGCAATCAGCATGGATTTATTAGGGGGAGATCATGTCAGACCAACCTGATTGCCTTCTACGATCAGGTCACAAAGGCCATGGATGCAGGTGTCGCGGTGGATGTAGTCTTTCTGGACTTCAGCAAGGCCTTTGACACCGTCTCTCACCCCATCCTAGTTAAAAAACTAGGCGACTGTGGCATAGATGCCTACACAGTCAGATGGATTGCAGATTGGCTGAGGGGTCGCACTCAGAGGGTGGTGGTGGATGGGTCATATTCGACCTGGGGGGAGGTGGGTAGCGGAGTCCCCCAGGGCTCGGTCCTGGGGCCTGCGCTGTTCAATTTCTTCATCAGCGATCTGGATGATGGGGTGGAAAGTAACCTGTTTAAATTCGCTGATGACACCAAAATTTGGGGGGAGGTGAGCACGCTAGCAGGGAGTGAGAGATTGCAGAGGGATCTGGATAGGTTACAGGGGTGGGCTAACAGGAACAGGATGCGTTTCAATACGGACAAGTGCAGGGTGCTGCACTTGGGCAGTAGGAACCAGCAGCACACTTACACAATGGGGAACTCCCTACTCGAGAGCACAGAGGCAGAAAGAGATCTTGGAGTCATTATTGACTCCAAGATGAACATGGGCCGACAATGCGAGGTCATGGTTGGCAGGGCTAACCGGACCTTGTCGTGCATCCACAGGTGCATCTCGAGTAGAGCCAAGGAGGTGATCCTCCCCCTCTATGCGACGCTGGTCAGGCCACAGCTGGAGTATTGTGTCCAGTTCTGTGCGCCCCATTTCAAGAGGGATGTGGACAACATGGAGAGGGTCCAGAGGAGGGCCACCCGCATGATCCGGGGACAACAGGGCAGACCCTACAGTGAGAGACTGCGGGACCTGAACCTATTCAGCCTCCACAAGAGAAGGCTGAGGGGGGACCTGGTGACCGTCTATAAACTCACTAGGGGGGACCAGAAGGGTTTGGGGGAGACGCTGTTTCCCCTAGCGCCCGCTGGCATAACAAGGAGTAATGGGCACAAGTTGATGGAGAGGAGGTATAGATTGGACATCCGCAAAAACTACTTCACAGTTAGGGCGGCTAGGAGCTGGAACCAACTTCCAAGGGAAGTGGTGCTGGCCCCTACCCTGGGGGTCTTTAAGAAGAGGCTGGATGCCTACCTGGCTGGACTCATTTGAGTCCCGTTTCTTGTTTTGGGGTTTTGTTGTTCTCCCGCCCTGGCGGGGGGTCGGGCTAGAAGATCTACTAGGTCCCTTCCGACCCTAAATCTATGAAACTATGAAACTATATTAACACTGTAAAAAAGTCAAAAGTTTTCTTCTTAAAGGAGGACTTCCTGTTTCTAACTACAAATTAAGGGTTGGGAAGGATCAGGCAAGGGCTCTTCTTTCTTAGGAGATGACAAGAAATGCAAGCAAGCTGAAGGAAGTCTTGCTCCAGGCCATGATAGCAGAAGGACTAAGAAGGTTAGTGTGGAGGAAGGTGGAAAATCATGTCAATGGAGACCCAACCTTGCTACCAGCTGTGAACAACTACAGCCATGGTAGTCTTGTTTTAAATTATTTTATAATATGGAGCTAAGATTAATGTGGGTATATTTTGACTGTAGATTTATTACAGGTATTTATACCGATGCTCCTTACCACAGTGTGCAAGGAGGTGTCCATGAACATGACATTTAGAAACCTTAATAGTTTAGTTTATCACGTTTAAGTGTGAGGGGAAAAAAATTGTACTAGCTCACATTTTTTTTCACTTGAACATACTATTTTAGAGTAGAAATTGTGATGTGTGTTAGAATTTTGGAATTCAGTGCATCTTCTGAATGGAAATCAATTCACTATGACATGCAGAACTTCTCTCAGAAAAGGGTAATTGCTTTTATGGAGCCCTAGTTATATATGCAATATATGCTGGCTTTCTATTTTAGTGAATATAAAGGTCATACAGCAAGTGAGCAGCTAAGGTGGAAATAAACCATGGAGTACTTCTGACAAACTTGTTCACAGCTTAAGTCTCTAATTGTGCTTGCAGGCTGGACTGGACACTGTCTATTATAAATTCTGGAATTGCAATACTGGGGAGATACTCAGAGCCATACCCATCTTGATGTATATTCCTGTCTGGTCTCATTGACGACTTCTGATTTGGAGCTTGTTGCACAACCCACAGGGTGTGAAGTTTGTAGTGTGACAGAGCTCAGATATTTTGTTGCCCTTGTTACAGTGAGTTGTGAATGTGAAATCTGTTGTACCAACATGCTGTATGCATTAGATTTTAGGTTTAACATAGTTATTCATAAAAAAAGCTCCTACATTAAAGGCATTTGCTGGATTAAAGGGAAATATGTATATTCCAAGATAAAATATTCCAAGAGAAATTTTACCTCATAAAATAGAATTTTAATATTAAAAGGGCACTAGAATAACTGTGATATAAACTTACTGGGCAGATGTAAATCAGCATAGCTTTGGAGCTAATCCGATTTACAGCAGCTGAGCATCCTGCCCTCAAGCTAGAATTGTGCAAGTTCACTGGGTGTGGGCCAAATCCTTGCTTTACTCATGTGAGTAGATCCGTAGGGCTCTGACTGGAGGAAAAATGTAACACCCCAAAATGGTGTTGAAAATACATGTGAAATAGCCCACCTACATGCAAAGCCTCATTATGTATTGTGCCTTCACTCACTGTGCTTTTGAATATATTTTTGTTAAGTATAAACGTGCAGACTATCTTGTTGTTTGTGGAGAAGGGTGTTGTCCACTTTTCCCACCATTTCAGAGGGCATATTTCTTTCAGTCTAGCTTAGTGGTGGTACTGGTTAGCCTATGTATATGCATGTGCATTCATACTGCACTATATATTTGTAACTCATTCTGTTCTCTGTGTTTGTTTTCTTCATTTCTTCAAGTTACTTGTATAGCTAAAAGTCCTCCAAAAACTCTGTGAATAGTCTGGAGTTTTTTGATGCTGTGCAACGAAGTGTCTTTTGGGCAAATACGAGTCCAAGCTTCCTTGGTTAAAGGAAAAGTAAGTTAGTAAAAAGTGCTGTTCGGACTGTATAGGCTAGCTATACACCTATTCATGGAATCTGTTTCCCTGAACTTATCCACACATCTTTAGGGAACAGCACTGTATGTCACAGCTTTCAGTGGATTTCTTAAAACATTTTTACGGATATGAACAATTCTGTATGTTACTTTTCAGTGCTATTTGAAATGCAGACTGGGTCTAAAGGCTGCCAAACTCAACTTTCATGCTCCTTTCATATTGTCTCTCTTCCTGCAGAATCCAAATTTTTTTAAACCAATCAGTTTGATTTCCTTTCATACACCTGGTATTCATTAAAAAATACAATGAAGCTGGATCTGGCAAATATGCTTTTTTATTTGTTTTTAAAAGGATGTAAAAAGTAAATATGTTTACTGTGTCCCTTTTCCTTTCAGTATATTTCCTTTTTTAAGCTCCATTTGTGTTCAACAAGACAGCCTCTTTCTCTAAGATTAACATTTCTTATGATTGTTCCTGACAGAGGATTTACTTTCAGAGGCCCTGCTAAGGATAACCAAAAAAGGGCATGTAGCAAGACAGTTTTGGCAGCTTGCATGAATTTTCGGAGCTTTTTAGGTCTTGGTTTTCTGATGAGTGGCTTCCTGAGCATGCCTAGGGAATGACAGGCATCTCTGCAGGCAGGCTGAACCCACCTTGGCTTAAGCATAGTCATTGGCTGTTTATTAGAATAAATTGAGGACAATGCATACCACTGGCTGCCAATTGTAAACATAAGGGATATGTATTCACTTAGCATTGACTTTTGGGAGGGGCCAAGGAAAGTCTGTAGTTTTATTGAATAGGGCTGTGTGTTAGGCAGTTTGTGTGCCTTTCTTGCTGTGCTCCTGCCTAAGCAGCCAGTAATTCATTTCCTTCCTACTAGTTGAAAACTTTTCAGCTGCAGAGGTAAGGGATTAAGATACATTTTTTTTTGTAGTGATCTGATGTGATCTGACTGCATTTGTATTCTAGATGGAGATTAAATGGCATGTTAAATCTAAAGAGCAGTGAAAAATCTGCTTGAGTGCCTGCTACTTTTTTCCCCTTGCCTTTTCCTCTTCTCTGTGAACCAATGAGTGAGAGTTGATTTTCGATTTCATTCTTAAAGGAGGTGCATGATTCCCATAGATTGACCCCTGGACAAAATGAGAAGGCTCTTGTGCAGGGTTATCTCATTGTTTGGAAGGGGAAAAGGGGAAGAAGCCCAGTGGGCCACCATTTGTCAGAACCAAGCAGTGTGGGATCCTAGGGAAGGCTTGCCCAGGGAACAGTAAGCTATTCATGTTTTTTTTTTTTCAATGTGCATTTGAAGGAGTGATTGAAATAAAAGATTTTGTATATTAACTGACTGCCTTGCTTTTTATTTTGCAACCTAAGCTCTGAGCTATTAGTGGGGGCACGCAACTTGATAAAGTGGGGGCAGGCAATGAAGAAGGTGCAACTGATATGGATCTAGCGAAGCTTTGGTTAATGTAACTGATCTGATATTTGCTGAAACATGTCTGTCATGGCAGTCTTTCATAAAAGTATTGTTGACAGTAGACTGCATCCGTATTTGTTTTCCGATGGCAGCGTACTGCCATGATGTATCTTACGAAGCTGTCTTTCCAGTTAAAAAGGGGGAAAGTGCTCATGGGTGGTACTGGAGCTTTTCATGTATCAGTATGTGTATGTCAGGCAGACTGCTATTCCAGAAAGAGAGGGAGCAGATTTTTATTACAAGTTCCTTTGACATGCTCAGACAGTTCTAAAGTGCTGGGCAAGCCTGATGCTAATGGTAGTGATATTTTCTTCATAGGCAATGATGATAGACTAGGACCAAGGGAGAGATTAAATGTAGAATGGTGCTAGGGGGAAGAGAGACTGACAGACTATATAACCCCTGAACAAATGCACAGATCTGCTAGAAGTGATTACTCTCATACGCACATTTAGTTTATTTTTTTTGCAAGGATGGATGAGATTGTTTAAAAAAATTACTTTTACAACATTTCTTTTTTGAATTTGTGATCTTTTTCTGACTATGTATTTGGGAAAGTTTCTTTTCCTTCCTTTCCTCTCCCTGGTAGAAGACCGGAAAGAGCTGGAAGAAACAGGGGTGTTGCCCAAGGTGCATATTTATTGGAGTTGGTCTCTTTCAAATACCCTACTTCAAATTAATTTACTAGTATAATAAGTTAAATACATCTGAGATCAGCACCTTTTTGTTTTTCAAATTAATTAAATATATTCACAGGCTGGTGTGTACTTACTTGTGTTTTACATATAATTCACTTGTGTGACAGTATTTGTCATTTTTGAACTGGGAAATATGTCAGGATCCTGAAATTTCAGTCCTTTTTGTATGACCAAAATGTTTTTTTCTTGATGAAAATTGCAAATTGTGCGTGATCAATTCAAGGAAGTGATAAAATCACTTGCCGAATGGAAGTGGTCTTTATAAAGGCAGACCAGAGCTATTTTGAATGAGGGAAGTTATGGGTCTCTCTTTTTTTAGGTGGCTGTCTAATGAAGGTGGTCGTTTATTCAATAAAACCTGTATATGAAACTAATGTCTG